GAAGAAGAAGAAGAAGAAGAAGAAGAAGAAGAAGAAGAAGAAGAAGAAGAAGAAGAAGAAGAAGAAGAAGCAGTAATATTAATTAAAATAATTTTTTTTAAGGAAAAAAATTAAAAAAAAAAAAAAAAAGTCAATTAGCAGTTAAATTACTGTCTCCGACAGTTAAATAACTGCCGAAGACAGTAATTTAGCAACGAATACAGTAATATTAATTAAAAATATTTTTTTTAAGAATAAAAAAGTCATTAAATTACTGTCTCCGACAGTTAAATAACTGCTGGAGACAGTAATTTAGCAACGAATACAGTAATATTAATTAAAATATTTTTGAAGAAAAAAAAAAAGAGTCAATTAACAGTTAAATTACTGTCTCCGACAGTTAAATAACTGCCAGAGACAGTAATTTAGCAGCCAAGACAGTAATATTAATTAAAATATTTTTTTAAGAAAAAACAAAATTATAAAAAAAAAAAAAAAAAAAAAAAGTCAACTCCGGAGACCCGGCGGTCAACGGCAGTTGACCGGCCGGAAAAAAAATTTCAGGAAAAAAAAAATTCAAAAAAAAAGAAAAAAAGTCAACGCTAGAGACCGGCGGTCTCCGGTGGTGGCGGGTCAAAATTGAAATTAGGGTTAAAATTGGTTAATTGATGAAATTGGGCTAAATTGGGGTGTAAATCATGAAATTGGAGTTAAATTGGGTTTCAATGAATTGGGGGTAATTTTGATATATATAAAAGGATTTTCCTTATTTGCAAATAAGTTTGAATGGGCTGGATTTATTTGAAACACAAAAAAGTTGGATGTCCCTCTTTTAATTAAGTGCCCTTGTCATGGGCCTATTTGCCATTACCCCTATAATTATTAATTTATTTAATTTGTATCTTAGTTTTGGAATATTTAATTTAAAAATTAATAAATATTTAATTAATTGACGGCGCTGCCAAGAATCCTGGTAGTATTTTATTCCACCCTAATTTTCAATGTGGGTCTTGCCCCTAGACATGGTCATAGGTCCGTTTTGCCCCGGACTTGAACCACTGACCGTCTTGACCCGACCTGGACCCACCCCGTTGACCACGGACCCGAACCGAACTTGCCATATTATGAGTCGTTTTCGGGTCCCATATACTAGGATAGACACGGCAACGGAGTAGGCCGGGCCAGGCCCGGGTCCATGTTTCAGGGGGCCCAAAACCGATGGGCGGGGAGGCAGGTCTCGACGGGTTCGGGCCGGGTCATATTAATTGTCATATTTATTATTATTATTAATATTAAAAATTTCCATTAAGAACAAATCTATCTATAAGAAATTTTTAAAAACACAAAGAACTATGGTTCAACCCGTGTAATTTAAAAGAAAGATTTAATTTTGAAATCTTTTAAGTTTCAATTTTTTTTGAATTTTGAATTTTAAAAAATCGCTGAAGTCTTAATTATTGTTGCAATTATAAATATCATCAACCCAATCTTTACCAATTCACTCTCACAACTTTCATTATGTTTAGTTTATTTCTCAAAGTCTTAATCATTGATAAATGTCTGTGAAATTATTTTCTTCCACTCATTCTGACAAAATACAACTCGCATCCGGAGAAATCCAAACAATATACAAATATTGCATGGTAATTATATTTATTCATGTTTTATTTTTTAAATTCTTTGTTGTGTACTAATTTTTTTTTTTAATAAATATTTCAAAATTGAATTCACAACTGATTATGGTTCATTACTTACGGCATGCACAAGAGAAGCATCCGATTGAATTCGGCTCCCCTCAAGTACAAACGCCAGCGTCGACCGAAAACACGTTTAAATATACCGATATTGAACTAAGCTTGTTTGAATCATTAGATGACAACCGCACAATGCGTGTAAAGAAAATGCTTCGATTTAAACGTGGATGATTTCTTCAATAATAATTTGAAGTTAAAAATTGTTTATCGTCTTCAATTTGTTTTTTTTTTCCTTATAATTTTGAATTTAAAGTTAAGCTCAATGCTTTCAAGATTTAATTAACTTTTTTTTTTCTTTATTATAATTTATTATTAACAAAAAAAAATTGAAACATGCGAATCGAACCTGGACCTAACCCGGACCCATTGAGACCCAGCAGGACCCGCCCCAGACCTGGACCCACCTCACCGCGTATCAGTTTCGGGCCTAGCCCGATCCATCTATCCCATGGTCGTGTCTACTTGCCCCTACGTGCTACTAGGAGTGGTAAACGAGCAGAGTCGACTCGCGAGCTCGATGAGCCGGCTCAAAAAAGGCTCGAACTCGGACTCGGACTCGGACTCGGACTCGAACTCGAGTTTTTCGAACACGAGCTCGAGCCAGTTTTTACTTGTTTGTGAGCTCACGAGCCTTATTTGTTATTTTTATTTTAATTTTAATTTTGTATATATATATATTTTTTAAATAATGTATAATAATATAAAATTTTATAGAAATAAATAAAATTAAATATAAATATTACAAATATCTATAATTACAATTTATTGTGTATTTTGTAATTTAATTTTTTTAAATAATTTTTAATAATAATTAAAAAATATTAAAGAAAAAAAAACAATAAACTGGGTTCGAGTTCGACAAAATGTACACACGCTCGAATTCGAGAAAAAAAAAAAAAAAAAAAACTCGACGAGCTCGAGCTTAAGCAGATGAGGCGAGCTTCACATTCTGACGCCTACTGGCTCCACAACCTAACACGGATAAAACGGCCAAACAATAATATCAATTATCATCCTCCAATATGGGAAAAGGGCACAAAGGAAAAAAAGGAAAAAGCAAAAGAGGAATGAAATGACAGTTGTTTGTAAGACTTGTCATAAAAAATGACAGCTGTAAGACGAAAGCTTGATCCAGCTGGAAGAAGCGAATAACATAAAGGTGAGTCACAAGTACTTTAGATATATTACATGCTGGCTCCTCCTGTCCTCCATCTCATCACCACCCCTACTTAATACGTAACCGTGTGTGTGTGTGTGATTTTTGTATATAGCGTTTTATATTTGGGAATTGCTATTTGCAGTTTGAAAATTGCTATTTGCAGTTTGAAAATTGCTATTTGCGGTTTATAACAAAAAATATTTTATCTCTCTAGAACCCCAAAATTTCTCAAAAAAATCCAAAAACACCCCCAAAACGCGTAAAAGCCCAACTTGGGCGCCCATTCATGCAGTGCACGGCCAATTTGACGCCCGAGTTGGGCGTGCAGTGAAAAAAAAAAGCCCTACAAATCGATTTGTAGGGCTTTTTAATATGAAATTGGTTCCGTAATCGACCTACCCAATGCATATTACACATAAAAGAGTCGAAATTACATCAAAAAATCGAAGCCCAACCCTTCTTCAAGCTTGATTTCGAATTTTCGATTTTTTTTTTTTTTTTTTTTTTTATATTTGCAGTTTGGGAGGTTTTTTGATTTTTTTGAAAATTTTGGGGGTTTTTGTTAAAAATCGCAAATAGCAATTTTGTAACCGTAAATAGCATTTCATATATATATACATAGCATATTTAATAATTAATACTACTCGATATTAAACTCCCCACTCACTGTCACAGAGTACTGTGACTCACACATTTCAACCCAAAAACGCTCTCCTGCATGCCAGCCTGTCCCAACCCAACGTCCCCAACACTCCCATTCTCTTTCCTTACTCTCTTTTCCCAAACTACCCCTCCCGTTAATCACATCTATTCCATGTGTTTTAAATATGTATAATTAAACATAAGCATATCACTTGTACACTATGCACTTAACCAATTTCATGAAGAAATTCACGCACGACTAATAATTCAATTACAATTAGTAGAATGATGAAATTCCGACAATTTTGGTAGAACGATTTTGAAAATTAGAGTAGGATTTTCAACATTTCGAGTTTTTTAGTAGGAATTATAGTTACAAAATTAGTAGAGAAAAAAATATTAAAAATAAATAATTACAGATGTACCATTAGAGTAGGATTATTCAGGGTTTAGTTTCAATTTTGATAATTGTTGAAAATTATAGTTATAAATTAATAGAGAAAAAAAAATTTAAAAATAAATAATTACAGAAATACCATTAGAGTTTTTAGGGTTGTCCATCGTTTCTATCTTTTATATATAAGATGTAGTGGGAGGTTTTAAATAAACTTTAAGTAAGATTTTAATTTACGTAGCAATTTATATCTTTAATTTTTCTTCAATTGAAACTACACTATTCAGATTACTTAGCCAATATTAAGGGTGATATAATACAGTTAGGCTGCATTTGGATGAATGGATTTGGAGGAGGGATTTCAAATCCATAATAATAAATAGATTGAAGTTGTTTGGATTAAGTGACTTGACAAAGAATTTCAAATCCATAGCTCTCACTTTTAGTTGTTTTTTAGCAATTGTGGAGGATTTTAAATCTCTTCCGACTTGAAGTCATTTCAAATCCTCCTCAATTGTGTTCATTTCAAATCCATTGATTTAAAATACCTCAATCCAAACACAACCTTAAATAAGACAATATAATTTTCTAACATTAAACTAGATAAAATATTAATGAAAGATAAACTAGTAGTGGTTAAAAAAAGTATTAGTTTGTGATTGATCAAGCTTTGTCTTACATAAGATTTGCAAATCTTAGTTGAAGTGGAAAAATCTAAGAAGTATAAGCATAATGTTATTTTATAATCTAATAGAAGTAGTAGTCACAATTAAATTATAAATTTCCACAAACATGCAAGAAAAATAAAGAAACACAAGGGCATTTTAGAAAATACACAGAGTAGAAATACGAGAGCCTTTATGGGACCAAAGCATCGAGATGCGTTGAGCAAGCTGTAGTTATGGGATGGATAATAGCTGTCTGTATTGCTTTTTGTTCTTTTCTGTACACTCACCATAACACATAATAAATAAAGCAACGGCTACCCTCTTTTAATTTAAACCGCGTTTTACAATTTTTTATATTTGTATAAATACCTCTTCATCTTCCTCCTCCATTTATCCCTCATTCACATTCATCCACAACTACTTTCTCTCTCTAGAAATCTATTTTCTCTCTCTAGATATCTAAACACACACAGAAATTAGAAATGGCTTCTTCTTTTCTGATTGTTAAACTAATTCTTCTTACTTCCCTCTTCAATGTGTGTTTTGCTGCTCTGGTAGCAGAAGAACCACAAACCCAGCTGCTCAAATACCACAAAGGATCACTCCTCCATGGCAGAATCTCCGTCAACCTCATTTGGTACGGCAAATTCAAACCCTCACAGAGAGCAATCGTCTCCGATTTCATCTCCTCTCTCTCATCATCACCATCTAATTCCGCCGCCGCCGCCGCCGCTCAAATCGAGCCATCCGTCGCCACGTGGTGGCGGACCACCGAGAAGTACTACAATCTCGCCGGCGGCGCAAAGAAGGCGTCTTCTCTCTCCCTCTCGCTGGGCAAACAGGTCCTCGACGAGGGCTACTCTCTCGGAAAATCTCTCTCCCAGAAACAGATCGTTCAGTTGGCATCCAAGGGCGAGAAATCCAACGCCGTTAACGTCGTGTTAACGGCGTCAGATGTCAACGTCGACGGTTTCTGCGTCAACAGGTGCGGGTCCCACGGATCCTCCTCCAACAGCAAATTCGCGAGGGGGGGGAATAAGAATTACAAGTTCGCATACATCTGGGTCGGCAACTCGGAGACTCAGTGCCCCGGGTTCTGCGCGTGGCCGTTCCACCAGCCAATATACGGGCCGCAGAGCCCGCCGCTGGTTGCCCCGAACAACGATGTGGGCCTGGACGGAATTGTGATCAATTTGTCGGGTCTTTTGGCCGGAACGGCGACCAACCCGTTCGGAAATGGGTTCTATCAGGGAGCGGCGGGTGCGCCGTTGGAGGCGGCGTCGGCTTGCCCTGGAGTGTATGCTAAAGGGGCTTACCCTGGTTACGCCGGAGACTTGCTGGTTGACTCGACGACTGGTGCTAGCTATAATGCGCACGGCGCTAATGGCCGGAAGTACTTGCTTCCGGCTATTTACGATCCTTCTACTTCCAGATGTTCCACTCTAGTTTAGATTTTATTTATTTATTTTCTCTTTATATATATAAAGAATTATTTTGTAAGAGTAGTGTAATAGTGGATTCATTCATTCATTTATTTATTTTTGGGGGAAATATCTCTTTTCTTTTATATTTTATTTTATTTTGAAGAACAAAAATGCTAATTTCCTAATTCAGGAGGATCCTTAGTCGAGGGTGTTCAAAATTCAATTTAGTAAAATATTGGAGTAATTGATATAGGCAAAAAAAAAAACTATGAAGTACACAACTTTTGTTATACATTTTCCATATAAAATAAAAACTTTATAATAACAGGAAGGTGTGCCCCCAAATCCTAAAAACGAGTTTTTTTTATAAATATTTTTGTGAAATAGTTATTATTTTTTTTTTTTTTTCATTTTTTATAGCACATCCAAAATTATTTGTTTTTTCTTTTTTTTTTTATAAAACACGTTTCAAGTTTTTTTAAGGGCACGTTTTTTTAACTATTTTGATTTTTTTTCCTTCTTTTTTCCCCTTCCCCACCAAATATGATCAACTTTGAATTTTTTTTTTTCACGTTTGTTTTTTTCTGAATATCTCCTTTTTCACGTATGTGTATTAAATTTTATTTTTAAAATATATATATATCGTGATTGCAATTAGTGGAATTTTTACATGTTCGGTGTTCCGTTCTTTTGCTATTGTACATGTCATATATGTTTACTAATTTCTAATTTTGCTTATCTTATTTTTTTTTTCCAATATCCACCCGTGCAACGTACGAGGCAAAATACTAGTATTGTGTAATATATATTTATCGCAAATTGACCCTATCTTTAAACATTTGAAATTTGAGAAAGTTGATTTACTTCTATAATCCATATAAAAAAAAAAATTGTGATAATAATTTTAATACATGTATTTAAAATTCTACAATCACAAAAAAATAATAATAGATAAATAAATAAATAAAAAATAGATTAAAATGAGGGGTTATTGCACAAATGTTGTGATAGTGGGAATTTGTTATACAAATAGTGTGTTTTTTTCTTTTTCTTTCTCAATTTATTGAAATGGTGTAAATTGCGAGTAGCAATTTTTGCCTGATTTTGAGGCTTGAAATCACCTCTGAAAGTTCTGATTTCACTTGAAGTAAAAAATCGCCACTCCCAGGTGCGCTCTTATCAAATATTTTTAACTGAAATTGCCTTTGGAAGTGATGATTTCATTCTCTTTTAAATACAAAAACACCCCTGTACTATGGACTTTGTATCATATACCCCCCTGTACTACGCATAAATACAAAAAACCCCCTCACATTACATTTTTTCCAAAATATGACGAAAATATCCCTACTTAAGCAAATATATATATATATATATATATATATATATATATATATATATATATATATATATATATATATATATATATATATATATATATATATATATATATATATATATATATATATATATATATATATTTATATTTTTTTTCTCCAAAACATCTAATTCTTAGATTTTTTTAATTTTCTGAATAAAATTTTTTATTTTTGTCATTTGGAGTTTCTTCATGTTTTTTCTTAAATTTCTTCCAGTAGTTCAAACATCCTAAGATTACAAACATCTTTACAATCATATTATTGTTGAGAACTTGAACTACCGAAAGACATTAAAGAAAACAAAGAAGAAACTCAAAATGACAAAATTAAAAGGTTTTGGTCTGGAAATAAAAAAAATCTAAGTAATTAAATGTTTTGAAGAAAAAATAAAAATATCAAAATTTTCAGGTAAAATTGATCAAAAATGTCAAAAAATAATGGATCAAACAAACCTTTTATTTATAGGCTTAGTAGGGGTATTTTCGTCAAATTTTGGAAAAAATATAACATCAGGGGGGTTTTTGTATTTATGGGTAGTATAGGGGGGTAAATGATACAAAGTGCATAGTACAGGGGTGTTTTTGTATTTAACCCTTTTTTAAATCCGGTTTTTTAGAATTACTTTTAACTTCTTTTGACATTTTTATTTTTTCAGAGTAAATTACGGGCATCCTCTAAAGTATGAATAAATAACTTACACACTTATGTGGTATTAATAATTACATATACCACCCTCAAACTAACATTCCATCAAAAGCTTAACAAAATGTAGAAATTGTCCAAACTACCATTTAATTAAAAAAAAATTAAAAAATTAAAATATATTAAATTGTAAATGTGCACTTTACCCTAATTACATACACTTCCTCCATAACACCCTTCTCCACCATCACCACCACCTTCCGCCACCTCCCGTTGTCGGAATCCACAACCCAATAATGTAAACATCCCCCGCCCGACTGTACATTACACCTTTATAATTTGCAAACATAATTTCTCATCTTCATTCACAACATGAAGGATCAGAGACCCAATTGTAGAAAAAATAAAACCTTCATTGTAGAAATCCATGCGCAAGATAGTTGTAGGAAAATAAAAAGAACCACCATTTTCACAAGCAGAGATAAACCCAAACATTTGAAGCAAAGTATCCAATGGCCTTTGTCATGACCCACGACGTTAGCGGCGACGACGGAGGTCAACGTGTCTGTTGGGCTAAATACCTAACACGCAAGTGCACGTATCGCAAACAAGTAGTAAAAGTGGACTCGTGAGAGTCGGATGTCGATCCCACATGGAATACTCAAATTACCTAATCCAAAGTACCAAAATCTAACAATTACGATTTTTATCCAGCCTATGCAAGGTTGTCAAATTATTCAACTAAATAATTAAACTAAATATGAAAGCAAATAAATACGAGAAAATATCAATATAAGAACGGATCTAGGATTTTATCTTCCCCCTATGCGATAATTCATCACCCAATTAAACCTCTATCATGCAAGTTACGATTCCCGATTATTAACCCAATACACGAAATTACTCATAACCCGTTGTCGCGTGTATTATAAGTCTATTATTCATAAACGATTCACTATATGTCTATGCAAACCTAGTATGAATAAAGCATTAAATAACAAGTCTCGAAAACGGCTACCTAAGGTATTATCTGTATGTCTACGATAACACATGCAATTAACACACTCATCCGGTGAAAACTACTCGAAGGCTCTCCTATCCTTGTTCTAATTATTAAAACGATCTGTCAATCAATTCTAACAATAACATATAGCAACATAAATTAGCTACTTTCATGCGCTAAATAAGATCAAATAGGAGAAATAATCAATGAATTTAAACTTGCATAATATTAGAAAAATAGGTTCGAATCACCACACAGGGTTCCAACAAAATCCTAGATTAAAAGCTTAGCTACTCATGTTTTCTACGGAAAGCATAATAAAAATACGAAAATTCATAAAAATCGAGAAATAAAGTAAAGGGAGAACTATGATGAAGATTCGTCAAGTCTTCGTCTTCGTTGCTCCGTTCTCTTGCTCCTAGATTGCGTGTGTAAAGATAGATTCCTAATTGTGTGCTTTTTGGCCTTTAAATAGGGTGCAAAAATATAAGAGGGCGGTTTCCTTGTGTAATTAAACTTCCTTCACTGCGCCATTTCGTGAACCCGGACGCCCGTGCGAGAAATAGCTCTGGAATTTGGACGGCCGTCCGGTCTTTAATTCTTCAGAGTTTTGATTTTTTTACTTTTGGCCCACTTTTTCTCCGAATTTGCAGTTTTTACCTCATAAGTTGCCAATTCTTCGATTTGTACCTAAAATACAAATAATAACCATTTAAAGCACCAATTATCGTTAAAACACACCAAAAGCTACAATTAAAAGGTGCAATTAAGTGTAAAAATATACACTTAACACACCCCCAAACTTGAACTTTTGCTTGTCCTCAAGTAAAATCAATTTATGAGCACAAAACTCGACTATACATCTCATTACATAGATTGATTGATCAACTTCGCGTTTTCAGAACTTGCAATTATGATGACAATTCCTAGGTATTCGTAATCTTAACATTCAACGGCACTTAGTCACTCACTATCACCAAAAACCACAAATCATACAATTGCTTCAAGTATCCAATATTTGCAAATTAAAGATAGAAAGAATTTATACTTACATGCATATATTTGACTCCAAATACTCACCAAATTATTCTACTCAACTAATATTGAACATTAAGCTATTGGGATCATTGGGACTTTGTGGCTTTCAATTGTAAGGCTCTTTGGTTCGAGGTAGGAAATATGGGTATATGTGGCTATTGTTCTTGAATTGAGGTGATTACGCTGAAATTTGAAGTATAAGCGTTGAAACAATGGAATCACCTCTAAGGACTTTAGTCAACTCGATTCTCAAAAGTTCAAAAGTCTCCACTTTTGCTTTTTTAGGTAATGGATCGAGCCTTCAAAACACTTCGACAACTAGTCCTTACTTCTCCCTTCTAGTCTCTTCTTCTTCTTCTTCTATTTTTTTTTTTTTTTTTTTTTGAATTCATATATATATATATATATATATATATATATATATATATATATATATATATATATATATATATATATAAAGATGCATATATATAAAGATGCATATATATTTATCTCTTTTTTTTTTTCTTTTTTTTTCAAGAAGAAGAAAGACCTTATAAGAATTTTCGACCGAACTTCAAGGGGTAATTATTCAAAAATCTCCAATTTTCTACCTTCTACATATTGGCTAAAAGAAAGAACACCTTTTCTTCGAGGCTCAAATCAAGGTTCTAAGGATAAGTTCGATAAAAAGGTAGGCTTGAAAGGCTCAAACGGTTCAAAGAAGGCCCAAATCACATCCCAAATCGCTTACTACCCAATACTTCGTATCATAAATGTCCTAAGGTGAGATTTAAAACCGAACAAAGCATGATTTAGCACAAATAAATTCCAAATTTAAAATGCAAAACATTCAACCAAAGCAATGCACAAAGTGTGATTCCTAGCAATAATTCACTTCTACGTTCCGTTGAATCGAAAGCTAAACGCATCTCTAATCCTTATCAACATAAAACAAGTAATCTCATCATCAGACATTGACCATCTCCCATCATCATAATTCATCGATGCGTCGATCCAAGCAAAACTTTTTTTTATTTTTTTTTATTTTTATAAAGCAAATAATAAAAGACAACTAAAACAAAGAAAATAATAAAAAGAC